GAAATTCCCATTTCCTCAAACCTAGGAATGCTCAGTGAGGAGCACTCTCAGATAATTTTTCATATTGCCTTGCCCTCCCAATGTAAGCCTTCATCACGTGCCCTAACTTTGCCCTACTTCTTTGTTCCAGTTTAATCCAGAACAAGGACTGTGTTCAAGCCTAAAGTCCTTTCCCCTCATGGCTTTCCTCTTTCCCTTTTTCTTTCTGAACTTTATACTGGAAAAAAAAATTTAAAATATAAAAGTAAAAGAAAATTCCATGTAGCACCACAGGCTGATACAGAGTACAAGTGACCAGCACTGTGATCAATGACCAGTCAGCCATGAGCAAAGATGAACAACTGAGTCCTGATAGCACATCCCCCTCTAGGCTGCTGTCACAGCCTTTTACATTCTGGGATGCCCTAAAGTTATGGGCGGAAGTATTTTAATGGCTGAGTCCTTACAGAATTCTCTGGTAAAGATCCATTCACAGGGCCTGGAGAGGACACAATTAATACTGGTTCAACTAACTCGATAGACAATGAAAAATAGTAATTGTTTTCTTTCTCATCAAAACAAGATACCCACGGCTGACTCAACCCTACTCAAGCTAAATCAAAGTCAGTCTCTATTACAATGCTACAGCTGCTAAACTATTGAAAAGGAGGTGAGAGAAAAGGGCACCTCTTCTGTCAGTCTTGTTATTTTGTTCTCTAAATTTGAAACTGAAGAAACTCTGGGGTGACTGAAAATAGCCAAAACTGTGTTTTGGCTGAATATATTCAACTGAAAAAAATCCTCCGCATTTACCAAGGCTTTGTGAAATATGAAGGGCTGAACATAAAAGGAATAAGATTAAAAAAAAAAAAACTCTTGAAGTCTAGTCCTGTATTGGAAGACTGACAACAGCCTAAGCTCACATCATTTAAAAAATAAAGAAAAAAAGAAATTGACCCTTTCAAGGTTGGTTTTTTGTTTTTTTTTCACATGGAAATATTCATACTGATCTCACTTCCTGGTGCTTAAGACATACAGGGTAGAGCATCTATGATTAAGAAACAAAATGAACATCATAAACAGGCTCAGCTTCAGAGTTGACACTGTTCACTTAACTTTTGAATTTGTTATTGCAGGGGGATTCAGGTGGCCCTCTGACATTCAAAGATGGGGACAAGTGGTTTTTGGTTGGTGTAATATCATTTGGCGACGGGTGTGCATTTCCCCAGCAACCAGGAGTGTATGTTCGAGTCACCAGGTTTGTGGACTGGATCAAAAACATCATCTATTAGCTTAATATTTTTTAATTATGGACATGGAATTTAGATTTTGAAAGTAAGACATTGCATAATGATGTAAATGAGGCTGCCATTTCAGCCTCACAGAGAAACTGAATAAATACATAAATCTCAGTGAGGAAAACACTGGTAACTTCTGTTTGTTAATACGACCCATTTCCAAATAAGTACAATATTTTAAAAGAGATGCTGTGGTTTTGTTAATAGTTTTGTCATTTTTATATAGGACCTTAGGAAAACAGATTCTTTGAACATCAGTGCATTAACTGCACAGTGAAGGGCTTTACAAAATGTTTGCAAACTGTAAATGCTGTAGTGGAAAAGAATCAAAATTGTTAATATCAGGTGAAATATGATCTGCTTGATGTTTTTATATTGTGTTTTTTAATGTGCAATTTCATATTAATGCAGAGTCAACTCTTCCCAGCAATTTCTCTGCATATCAAAATGCAGGTATATGTTCTCTCTTTAAGCTGGGCTCATGGGAGTCCCTCTGCCTTGCCTATTACAAAGGGCTCTGGAATGAGTTTTATGGATTGTGCAGAAAGGCTGACCATGGATCATGCTGCTTTCTAATGAATAAACTGAATGTCAGCCAAAAGTTCTCTCTTGTGTAATGTGCTTAGAATTAATAGAGTTTAAAAGGGATTGAACAGAGCTTTTCAGTTTTCTTTCTAGGCAAGTGTCTGGCAATTATTCAAACAATTATAGAGATGTGCTTGTCCACACCCAACCACAGACTCACAATAACCACAGCTTCTCATAAAAAGTGAGGTTTTTAAAAACATTTGACAATAATGAGTACCAGGTCTCCCTCCTGAATGACAGTGTTCCTACATTACATGCATTTTCTGTACTGGTGATTTTTAATATATATTTTCTGCTTTGTAAAAAAAAAAATTAGCAGGATGTCCCATTACATTTTGTATTCCAAAGTGGAATTCAAAAATACACTTTGCATTCCAAAGTGGAAAGAATATGAAAACCAAAATAAGGGGTTTATCTTCTTGAGCTCTTTTATAAATCAGTTTCTATTAAAATATAATTACTTACTTGTTCAGATACCTTAAATTCTACAGTGTCTTAGCATAATGATGCACTTCTTTATTTCTGTTTTCAGACCATTGCAGGACTTTAATGTATTTATCATTCCACAGTGCCAAAGCTACAAAATGCATTCTCACTTACTGAAAAAGTCTATCTACACACATACACACAGGTGTATGATTGTTGTAAGCTCTTGTATTTTGTTCTTGCAGCCCTAAAAGCAGGTATGAAATGCTTGCAAACAGAGGTTGGCAGTCACTGATAAAGAAAACAAGTCCCAAACTGCTTTCAGGTCTTTGTAAGCATTAGAGAACTAGGTCCAGACCAAAATCTGTAGCTTTATCACGACATCTGTGATCACAAAGAACACAGATAAACATAGCTATGACAGAGAGAAGGTAAGAAGGTGTTTTAGACAGAGTCTCTCATATGAAAGACACAGCTTTTTAACATTAAAATATTAAATTTGCAAATTTTATCTTTCATAGTGGACCATTGTTTCTCCTATACTCTGAAAAGTAGAGCATTTTGCTATCAATAGAAACTGATTTGGATGAAGCAATTACATTAAAATGCTTAAGTATGACCTGATTTTTGCATTATTTACCATACATCACTGTTGCACATTGTGTTTCAGTCTGTTAACGAAATACAAAAGCCAGCTGAAAGCAGATGCAGTCACTAGAAAATGTGCTTTCCAGGAATAGAGTAAGATACCTTTATTTGTGTGCTTTTTCTTGCATCCCAAAATGCAAGCCATAAATGTATTTTGGGATATACACTGATAAACTACTTCATCAGACTTAAAAAGTTCTAATATAAAATCTGGCATATATATATATATATATATATATACACTATTTTAATTTAAAAAGCCATTTTATTTCAACTAATTATGCCTAGGTAAAATTGCATAACCTTAGTCAATCACATTCTTGCCTTTGGTCAGCATCCATGGCTCCAGCTGCCTGCAAATTAACCTATGGAGAAATCAGTCAATACTAATTAAAACACTTGGGCAGAACAGATTATTTGCAACTGAGTCAGTTCCAAGAGGTTTTGAAACAGAGGATATATATGGCCATAAATATAGAAATATTTTGTCCCAATAGCCAATATTTCTTATTTCTACATGAAATCTGAGCACACTACAATAGAAGCACTGGATGGCACTTCCCCATCTGCCTTGACACAGAGTTTGAGACAGGTCTGTGCCAATGCCTGCCCAGCCATCACTTTCACTCTAAAAAAACTCCTGAAGGTATTTTCATTCTCTTAATTGCCACTTCAAAATCACTTCTGCTGTCATTAACCATCATATTGATAGTGACAACATCCTTTGGGAGTATGAAGAAATAGTTAATCCTTAAATTAAAGGGAGTTAATCCTTCAAGACCATAAAAATTAACTAAGTTCTTTTTACCACAACTCTTTTCAAGAAAGAGGGCTCTCTTCCCCTCAGCTGGCTTAATATTTACATCACTAGTAATGCAATTCTGGTCATGGTGATCATGTAGGATCATAGTATTTTCTCACTGCAAAGGAAACCAACTGGAAAAACTGTAGAATATTTTAAGCTGGAATAACAATATTTAACCTGAACTACAGGAGGAGTTTTCTTTGAAAAGAAAGCAAAACCACTGCATAACAGCAGCTTAAAGATACTTCCAAAAGTGCTTCAGCAACTAATTGCACAATTACTATTAATGGCACCAAACTTTCAAATACTTTTTCTCTACTCATGAAAAATTGAGACACATTTGTCACCAAAGTGATGTGGTGAACATCAGGCAGCACAGTGCAGGCAACCCTTCAGTTCTGCTTTGCTCAGTCTCTCCCCAGCATCCACCCTGCAGTAGTTAAGAATCCGTGTTAAAGCCAGCTTGGTTGAGCTCAGGCTCTTGAACTCTTGTTGGAACAGCAGTAAAATCCCTTAACTTGTTGCTCTGACACCAGATTGTCAAACAACAAATCAACCAGAGTGCTACTGCCACCACCCTGGACTGCTCCTAATGACTGGCACTACCATTCTTAAGGCACAGAAAGCTCTTAAGGCACCAAAGAGAATGGACATTAAAGATGTTAATCATAACTCTAAAAGACAGCTTTAAATGCACAGTTACCTCTAAATCTGTCCATCAATTAATATAATTAATGTATTTCTAGATAATAGTCTGAGTAATGCTGGAATCAATGTATGAGTGCCACTTCCAAGAAAAAGCCCATGTCTTTTCTTTGTTCCAACATTATACTATTCCTATCTATTACTTATATTTAAATACCTTTTAATGTCTTTTTTATGTAGACTTACTGAAACAGTGATTTTCATCTTAAACTCTTGCCCACTGTGATATTTTTTTCCCACCAGAAAATTATTTTACTCAAGTAACAACTAATAGCTGCTTTTAAAGGACACACCATTAATGAGATATCACTTACCAAGTTATTTATGTTGACCTTGGGCCAATATGACAAAAAGTTATAGTCATTCCCTGGCAGAATGAATTCATTCTATGACAGCAAAGGACTTTGATGAATCCTTGAATTTTGCCACATCAGGCTGATGTCACAACATGGTGGCTGTTTCTGTCAGCAACCATGTTAATATTTAATAAAATAAAACTTGTTCCCGAGGTTCAAAAACTATGTTAAGTGTGCAAATAAATACTAAACAAATATTTTGTATCAAACTTTTATGCAAAGATAAATAATTGTTACACTGTAAAATTGTCATTTCCATTTACTGTACATTGACTACAATACAATGCATGAGAGACTAAAAGAAACAGAGGAGGTTTGTTTAACTACAAACAGTCTTAAAACTGACATACATTGTGGATATTTCCCCATAAAAACTTCAAATGCTCTATTCATTTCATTGCTCACAACTGGCTAACTTACATCTCTTAGCAAAATAAACACATACCCTTTATTTAGCATGGCATATTTTGTTACTGAATTAATAAACAAACATTATATAAAAATGATGTGAACATTTGCCTCAAGGGGGAGCTTACAGTTCATTCTTGTAGATCCTTTGCATTTTTCAAGCCATTCCAAGCTAATGTTCTTTGATGACATTATAATACAGCCTCACTGCAAAATGTTATTTTTGCTCTGTTTTCAGTCAGTAAATCATTATACCTCCATGCTACTGTCCTTCCTAGACGTCTTTGAAATCCATAGTGTGGACTGGTTTGGACTGGTTTTTGTTCTTCCTTTACTGAAAAATAAAAATATAAATTATTTTCAGTGCATGTGTGCCTTTGCAGTCCTGATTCAGCTTTGTGATCAGACCTGAGTGTTCCATCCCTGGATCTCAAGGCCACATTTGGTGCTTTCACAGTGTGGATTCCCCATCCACAGTGGCGCTGCTACCAAAAATACCAGATCACCCTTCTTAGCAGTGCTGCTCCCAGGAACTGTACTGAATTTTCCTGTATGGATTTTATCTCATTTCATTTTTTTTCAGTTCCCATCCAGCCACACCTCTTGTACAGAGTAGTCTTTTCAGAGAAGGACTCAGTTTGACCAGGGCTGGTGGGAGCTGAGCACTTCCTTTGTCTGGGGAGGGGACCAGAGCACACACACCCCCCTAAATCTACATCCAAAGTGCAGCCCACCCACCCCAGTGGGTACCACACCCCTGCCCACCCTGGTACACCAACAGGCTCACTGGGCATCCCTGCACCAGCAAGCCTCTTCCCTTCGGGGCTTCATCTGACATCTAATGAAGTGATGGCACATGAATCAGACTCCTAGCAATGAATGACTGGTAGAAAGCTTCCTTAGGGCTAGTTTTCAGTCAAAACTGTCAATAATAGGTTTTGTGTTTGGCACTTTTTCAATTAAAAAAAAGGATAAAACTGGTTCCAAAAAGTACTTGCTCCCCAATACTGCTGAAGTGTTTGCTCTGATTTTTCCAGGGAGCCCTGAAAGTTTATTGGCAGAATTTCACATGGCTACAACTGCTACAATACACCATCTTCCCTCACTTAGACTGGTAGATGACAGTGCACAGCAGACTACTGAAATAGGACCCACTTCAGGAGCCATTGCAGCAGCATTTCAATAAAAATGCTTCAGTCTCAGGATAGAATATTTCACACTGAGGAGTTTTTTTTCCCCAGTGAAGTAAAAACCAGAGGAGGAGAAGCAGCCCTACATAACTCTGTAAGGTAGAAACCTAAGAGTCCCAACAGTCCTATACATTCAGTTTTAGTTCTTTCCTGGTGTGTAAACGCAAGTGAGTCTGAGTTGATTTAAAATGTGCTTTAAGGGTTCTGAATGCTACAGTAGTTTTCAATCCCTCCAGACTTACCTCTGAAGCCCTACAAAGTAATGCATTATGTACCTGAGCCCATTGGAGTAATTGAAAAGACTCCCTTTGGCTTCAGTGGACTTTAGATCAGGCCACAATGCTATAAACAAAGCAATTGCAATGAATCAAGTAGTTCCAGCGCTTCCTTCTTAAGGAAACGAAGTCACTACTTCCCTCCGGATTAATCCGGCAAAAGCAGGCATCAATTAATGATGAAAGGCTTTGAATGGAGAGTCCTTGCCACACAGCAGGAACAACTTCTAAATACCTTGGATCAGAACTTGAGCTGTATCAAATCATCTTCAGCAAACCTTTGCTGATATTTCACAGCTGGTTCAGGAAACAGATTTTAGTGACAAAGGTAAGATGCAATAAATAACTTGAGCATATTGGTGTTTTGACCATCAAATGCAATCATAGAAACTGAGAAATATACCAGGATGGAATTTAAACTTTCTGCAAGGCATTCAGATGATAATGGAGATGGGTCTTTGAAGCAGTTTCTCCTTGCTTCCCTGGAAGAAATGAAAGGGAGAGCATCTAAGCATGAATGAGCTGATCATTTCTGCTAGCTACAGGGACGAGGTGTTGCTTTGCCTTATTACTACCCTTCAAGAGCCCAATGCCAAGCAAAATTGGTCATGACCTTTCAAGCTAGGCATGTCCTGGTTGGCCATGGGTTGTGGCTTTCAGAGGAAAGGTCACCATGCTGTGGAAGCCTAAAAAAGAATGAGAAGTCAGGTTCATGTGGAAAGTTGGGGATCCCTCCTTCCCCAGCAGGACAGAATACCTTTCCTAAAGCTCTGTGGTGTCCAGATGATAAGTTCAAGTGATTGTCTCTTTTTTTTTAATTTGGTTTTTGTCCAAGAGCTGCATATTTGTGATGAACTAAAATGATTTGCAAGGCAGGTCATAAGTGGAAATTAAAAATAGATAGGAAAGTATTTTTTTTAAAAAACAAAGTTTTGTTTCAACAGGTAAAATACTTCATTTTTTGTGATAGTTTTTTTGATAGAAATGATTTTTTAAATTTCTTTAATTAAAAGTTTTGATGTAACTCAAAATGGACATTCTGGGAAAAAAAAAACCCAAACCAACCAAACAATAAAAAAGGGAAGCCCGTTTTGCATCAAAACCATTTTGTCCTTGATTTTTCTATCATTTCATCCATCAAACCAATCAGCTAACAGAAAAAAGGGCAATCTTCCAAGGTGAATTTCCAATATCTGCATCATGCAATTTTGAAGTCTTGGAAGTTCAGATGAATTACTTCTGGATCAACTGCTATAGCATCAAAGGCCTGATCAAAGCCCACTGAAGTCAACACTACTATTTCTATTGATTTCAGTGGGCCATGAACCTCTCTCTGCTTTCCCAGGAGTATTCAAGGGCTGAAACTTTCCTCAGAGGAGAAGGATCTGCCAAAAAAGCTACTAAGATGTACCATACTTACCAAGAAATCCAGGGCCACTGTAATAAGGGTTCCAGAATTCAGTACTATGTAATTGCTAGTGTTATATGTGTTATTCTTTTACTACTCTTCTTTGCTTTGAGCTTCCAACCTTCTGCAGCCCCAGTGGTGAGGTTTATGGATAATATTTCAAAGGCTTTAATTTGCCTGTCATAAGACAGGTTGGAAAGTGTACATTTTCCCTTTCTTTATAGAAAATGCATAAAATAAAAACAATCAAGTTTGTTATGCAGACTTTGTGACATCTCTTCTTTATGGCCAGTTTTTTCAATGAGGCATGGCAGCAAGGAGTACTGCAAATATCACTGTGCACTCACTCATACAGACAGAAACAGCCTTTACATTTGGAGTGCTTCCCCACACAAAATAAGTTACTGCAGCTATTAGCAGGAGATATAAAGCAAAAACCATGAGGAAAAAATAAAGGTTAAAAATAAGGAGGAATTTTTTATTTTAATTTATTAAAATATTGATATCATATTCCTTTTAGCTATTCCTGCTCTTCAAGAGAGACAACAGATTATGAATCTGCTAATTGCTCTTGATATTTTACCAAAGTAGCATTTATCTACAAAACATATTTCAGTTTAAACTCTTCTGGATTACATTAACTTGAAAACACTTCCTGAACTAAAGGATGAAAATTATATTTGAAAGCTTCAGAAATACTAGTTCAAAAAAAAAATATCAATTATATGCTGTCATATCTTTATGCATCTATATCAAGTTTTGAAAAAAAATAAAAGTCCAAAGAATTTTAAAGCATGAAGCAAATTATATGGTATTTCAAAGGCTGAAATGTTTCCTTTTTGCATAACAGTTCACCTGCTTGATACCACAGCTATGAACACATATCTATTTATTTTATGCATCCTCTTTAGCACACACATGATGTACAAAGGATGTCACACTGGTGTGTGGCTCAAAGCAAGCTTTTGCTTTTTATTTTCAGTTTCAGTGCTCCAGTGGTGCATCTGGTGTTTGTATGGTATGTGCAGTGGAACAGGATTAAGCAGCTGCTGGCCCTTAGGTTTGTCCTTGGAATAAATTTTTATTTCAGGTTAGAAAGTGAGTCCTTGGGCTCACCCTGTATCTGTGAGGGACCCCTCTAGTATTTCCCACAGCCCAGGTACTTTATAAGGGGTAAGCAAATGAAAGAGGTGAAGTAGAAGTGCTGACAACAGCCCTGCCTATCAAGTGGTCTGCAAATAGACTTTCTTCAGAAGCAGGTGGAGTCCCAACAGCAGCATACTTTGAGACCTGGAATTATTTCAGCATGTTGTGGAAAAGCCTGAAGGTGAATGTTCAGCTGTAACAGCTGTAAACTACTTGCATTTTAGTAGATGAAAAGGCACTTATTTGCATATTTGGGGACAGATGTAAGCAGTCTTTCAGTAGGAATAGCTTGCCAATGGAAATATGAATTTTGCATTATAAAAACACTATGGATGAATATATTTTACCTTTTATGAAGCATCTGGAAACAGCACGTCCCAAAAGCCACCAGTATCAACAGCAGTAGTGGTATAGTGGGTATTACAACATATATTAAATTTGGAATTATACCTACAAAACAAAAGTTCTCATTAATGTCTCCCATGCTGAAGTGCTTTTAACTGTGTGAATAAAAACTTGGAGTAAAATAACAGGAATACATTAACTTACACAAAAGAACACATATTCCCTCTACAGGAAGAGCTTTAAAGGGAGCTCAGCAGTATCAAGAATAAAGCAGCACATGAGTTATGTGCAAAACATATCTTAAAGTCTTCAATTCTGCTATTTTCCAATTTTGTAATTAAAAATTCAAGTCTTTTAATGCAGTTCATTTCACAGCCTATATTTTTTTGCAGTCCATTTTAACTGTATACTCAGTTGTCTGTATGTGGATTCCCTGCCCATGCAGGACCACAGGAGGAATGAGCCTGGCTCTCATCTTCCCTTTCCGCTTAGAAGACACATATAGCCTCTCCTTGACTAATGAGGAGCTAGAGGTGCTCCTCTGCAGGTCCCTGCACAAAAGGAGTGGGAAATGGTACAAGCTGAGACTCTGTTATGTGTCTACAACAGAGGATGGGGTCTGAACTTCTAGAAGTAACTGTAACTACATGCCCATGTTTTACACTAGTACACATTTAATGTACAAATTGTGGAGATTTTCTTACTCATTGATGTATTTTTAAAATATTTTTCACTAATAAGAATAAATGTGAATATTCAGGTAGTGTTTGAGTTTTAGCCTTTGCACAGTTTGTATTAAATGGTATTATTGATTTCAAACCACAGTTCATCCATATAATAATAATTCATGGTGCAATCCTATAAAATCCAGAGCTGCTCCTTAGACATGTTCAGTTCCTTGAACTAAAGCCATGCCACAATTCTTCCAGTCAGGAATTCCATTCAGAAGATAAATTGCTGAACGAAGCAGCCAGGGACATTGCAGAATCTGGGCAGTAGGTATCCACTTCCCACATATCAAGTGTCATCTCTACTGGGAATCTCACTGAGGCACTGAACTCCTCTTAGCATGTGGTTTTCCCAAAACACAGGGTATCTGGGGGAGCTATGGACACGGTGTTTATTCTGTTTGGTGAGAAAAGGAAATAATTTGTTTCCACAGTAACTAAGAGGACTAAGACTCTTGAAATGTTATTCAAATATATGTATTTTCAGGGCACTTCCCAGGGAAACAGACTGTTTCTTCCTATTGATAAAAATGGAAACTGAAATACAGCTGAATATATATAGGTGTGTGTGTGTGTGTGTGTGTGTTCATATTATATATTCATATATTTCAGTTAAAATACAACTAAAAATAAAAAAAAATCTCTAATTCCAGTTTTAATATTTTTAGCAGAACACTACATTCATATAAACACATTACCTGTTTCAGTAGCAATAATATGATACTGATCTTCTGGTTTGCTTGTGTCATAAGGATTTCCTGCTGGCACGGTTGGAAAAATTTCTGAAAAGGAGATAAGACATTTTAGGAAACTAGTAAAAAATATGGCCATTATGTTGTTAAATTAATTAATAGTAATTACATTTTAATTTATATTGGGAAAAAGAACATTTTTATGTTTTATTAAATATATATATAAACAGGATTTTATTACAAAACTGGAAGTATAGCTGGAAGAAAAATTACAAGCAATGTTATTCTGAACAACAGCCATATATTTGTAGCTGCTGCTCTCTGAAGAATTCATTTCTCCTGTTTCCATTTTTAACCATGCCTGTTAAACTTAAGAAATTTTGGAGGTTCTTATACAGCTATCCTTATAATTATGTATTTACCAGTGCAATGGAATTTAATGTGTCAAAATTTCTTACCGTATTCTGGCTCTGCTCTGTCTCCTAATTCTTTCTCTAAGACATTATCTGTTAAATCAATATTTGAAATTCATTGTTGAAGAATGAAAAATGTGTGCAATAAAACAGATGTTTCCATTTTTTTTCATGCAGTATCACAGAAATAGATACATTCCCCCAAACAATAATTGCTCAGTTCTTCAGCATTTCATCTTCTTACCAAAGACTCTTCACAAACTAGTGTCAAATCACCCCTAGTCCATATTTTTTGCTCCTTAGAAGGCTATAATTTAGTCTAGTTTCAATTCTTGGTGCCCTCTGATTTAATGGCTAATGGTTAAAGCCTCAGAACACCCTAGCTTCTTAGGTGCTGAATGAAGCACCTAACATATCCAAAGCTTCATTTGTGCAGACCATTCTAAAACAATATAAGAAGTTCTCTGTCTCATATAGTTATAGTAACTTAATAGTGCTATGAGACTAGAGTTCTGAGTGTCCTGATAAATACAAACTGCTGGGAGAAATCAAAACAGTGATAAAGCCTACCAGAAAAGGCAATTATTTCACCTACTCTGGTAAAAGATGTCTACATTTGGCCTTATACAAAGAAAGATTCCAAGATACCCCAAATAACTGAGCTGCTGTCTCTTGACAGCAGGAGATGAGTTTTTAATTTGATTGCTTAACCAAACCTACAGGAGCTGGGCAGGAACTAAATGTGTTTGCAATTACCAACCAATAATTAAATTTAAGATTGCTGAATGATCAATATGATCCAAAGCCAGACTGAACATTACAACAGTAAACGCTATCAAGGGAGGGCTTGGAAAAATAAAAGTGTCTACCAGAAATGCAGCTGCTTCTTGAGCAAGGCTGCCTAATGAGCACTGTCCTGGACTTGCTGATGAAACAATTAGATGCAACTTCATCAAAGTTACCCACAGGCTGCTTTGGCCTGTGGCTGTGCATTGAATACAGGCAGGAGAGGTGGGAACAGCAACATGCTCAAACAACAAAATGAAATTCAATATGCATGTGGCACTTTAGTACTCCTGGTGAAATGGATGTATTCTGCATTGCTAAGAGCTGACATTGAAGCCTTTACAGTGATTTGAGGGGAGAAAAAGGTCGTTTGGAAGTCTCACTTGGTTTGAGATAACAAATGTAATTTTCCTACAAACATTGTGTTACTTTCTTCAGGCAGTGAAAGAAATGCCATGTATCTATTTAAATAAAATTTTGCATCTACTCCTTTCTCTCCATGTGATAGAAAAACACATTTCTGGAGAATAGTCTGTTTTGCTAAAGAGCAAAATTCCAACAGTTTGAAAAATAAATAGCTACAATTCAGTATTTAGCTGCATAACAATGACAATACTAACAATAATCTACCTATACATTGTTTGCCTTATATGCCTCATTATAAACTAATAACCCATTTCTACCTAGAGAAAGAAATATAAATGTATTTTCATTGTTACTGTTTTCCAACAATCCAAAATAACCAGCATTTTCTCAGATGGTAAAAGCAATAGAAAAAACAATTCTTTATCACATCTCAAGGGGAATGGTGAGTAGTTCTATTAAAGAATAATTATCTAATTTAAATTTGTTTGCTTTTAAAGCTACAAAATACACCTGAAACCAAACCTTTTTAATAAAGCCTGCAATTTCTGACATAAAAGTGTTGGGTTTTTAACAATATAAAACATTTTTATTTTTTCACATTATTTCAAAATAATTCTAACTGTTGCAAAAGTGATAAAATTGTTGCATTTCCTTGAAGGGCCCATGATGATTACTGAACATCATAAAGTAGTGATATCCACTAACAATTTCAAAAGCAGAAACAGATTCAGGGGTTGACAGTGTACCAAAACATGTTGGTATATCAACTCTGCCAAATATTTAATATTTGCTTGCCATATTAATTGCCATTAATATGCTCGAGACCAGAAAGTGAGAAAGTTATGTATCCACTAAAACCAGAGGAACAAAATAGTCTGGATCTCTACAGACAGATCTCCACAAAGAGAGTGATTGTTTGATCATCAGCATAGAGAAAGAAGGTAGGAAACTGCAGAATTTTATAGGTCAGATAATAAGAATTTATAGGTCAGCTGCTAAGAGTAGGATTTCATAGAATCACAGAATGGTTTAGGTTGGAAGGGACCTTAAAAAATAGCTTTTTTCTAACCCCCTGCCATGGACAAGGATATCTTCCACTAGATCAGGTTGCTCAGAGTCACATCCAACCTGGCCTTGAACACTTTCAGTGATGGGACATCCACAACTTCTGTGGAAAACCTGTGCCAGTGCCTCACAAAAAGAATTTCTTCCTACTATCTAATCTAAGCCTATTCTAATCTAAGCAGTTTGAAGCCATCCCTCCTTGTCCTGGCTCTCCAGAACATTGTAAATAGTCTCTATCTTTCTTGTGGGCTCCCGTCAGGTACCAAAAGGCAGCAATCAGATCATACCAAAACCTTCTCTTTCCCAGGTTGAACAATTCCAATTCTCTCAGCCTTTCCTCACAGCAGAGCTGCTCCATCCCTCTGATCACCTTGGTGTCTCCTCTGGCCCGGCTCCAGCAGCTCCCTGTCCTTCCTGTGCTGGGAGCCCAGGGCTGGATGCAGCCCTGCAGGTGGGGTCTGAGCAGAGAGGGGCAGAGGGGCAGAATCCCCTCCCTGCCCTGCTGCCCACGGGGCTCTGGATGCAGCCCAGCACACGGGGGGTTCCTGGGCTCCCAGCTGGGCCATGTCCAGCCTCTCACCCACCAGCACCCCCAAGTCCTTCTCCCAGGGCTGCTCTGGATCTGTTCATCCCCAGCCTGGATTGGTACAGGGGATTGTCCTGACCTTGGACTTCATCTCATGACGTTAAACCTCCAAGTTAAATCTCATGGGATTCCCATGGGATGCCTCTTGGGTTTTAATTAATTAATAAATGAAATAAATCCATAATTTCATATGCATTCTGACTTCTAGCTTAGTTTTGAAAAACAAACACACTAAAAAATATTCAAAAACATTTGCATGATCCTGCTGAAAAACACGCTTCCGTTTGCTTTAAGTACCGCCAAGAACAGAAAATGTTACAGGCTCAAACTGGAAAGTTTACTTTTCACGTCCTTTCTGGTTTTGCACCATGTTCTAGTTTACAGTTCACTTTTCCTCTATTGACATACACAGAACTTATGTCATGTCTGAAAGTACAGCCAAATTGCCTAAGATCTGTTTTTTCTGTCACCATCTCAACTAGCATGCATCTGCTTTTCATATCTCTAAGTCTATATGCATGAATGCAGAAATTTTTCCTGCTGTTCTGGACTTCATTCTTCAAGCCATAACTTTTTGAAACACACATAAGATGGTATAAAATGGCAGTCCTGCAACTACAAGGACAGTGCAATATTTTTTACAGGAGGACCAAGAGATGTCTAGAAAATAGAAAATGTACACTTAAAGTACTTCATGAAGTAAGGGAATTAATTAAATCAAAAAAATCTCTGGGAATGTGTGATAGTGAAGCTAACTTTGAAAACATTCTTATTAGAGATAAACAGGTTTATTAAAATGTATTAAAAGTGTTTTTTAATAATTGTTATTGACATATTATATCCCATGTTAATGCCAGCTCAGGCACACACTGAAGGAACCAGTACCAGAGGCCAAAAAAAACTTGAAGATTCCCTCATAAACAAAAAAACAATTGTTTTTCCAAGACAATGTCCCACCAGTGAAATACAACTTCAGTTTTACCTACCTGGGGCATATTTGCAGATAAAGTTGTGCTTCATGTTGCATCTATCATCATTCCATTGATAAAGGTATGGCCCCCCCAGACCAGGGTTTGCAGTTGGCTGATGATACATCACCACACAGGCTTCACTTCCACAGGAAGGCTCATCTGTGTACCAATTTCTAGTTTTTGAAAATAAGATTCATCAGGATGACAAAGAAAAGAGTTTGCATCAATGAAGAAATATCAACCCCAACAGTCCCATCCTCTTCAAAGACATCCTGTATTTCCCACAATACTTCTGTCAAAGGAGTTTTAAGGCCCAAGCAACACATCTCTGAATATTGAAAAAATTCTGATCAAAGCACCTCTGCAGAAATAACACCCTTTGCTTTCCTCCCTATTGGACTCTTATCTGTCCCTTTGTCTGGAGTTCTGTGAGTTGCTGCTACTCTGGCCTTTGGCTTCATCAGTTAAAGTTAAGTTAAAGGCTTTTCAAAAAGGGTAGAAACAGAACAATTTACAGTAAGCACCTCACAATAATTTATTTGGTGGCTGGCTCCCTGATTTGAGGTGGCCAGAGCCTTGCAGAATTTAGCTGCCTGCTTTCAGACCACACCCAAAAGACTCTACATGTGGCAGAACAACCTCCAAACTTCATGCAGAAGCAAACCCTCTGGGTGGGAGCAAAGAAATTTGCAGGCTGAAGCCACACAATGCCATCCTGCCATAGCTTCAAACTCAAAACCCCGATTGCCAGCTACCCTTCATCTGGAGAAGTCAAGGGGGAGATGCTAGACAAACTTCATGTCTTCAAGGCTTGTCATTTCAGGCTCCATCCTTTCCAAGAACCCTTCTCAATCAGCAGTTTCACACACCTACCTGAATGGTGACATACTTCCATCAGCCCACTGGTAGAGGTCGGGGCAAGCACTCGACGTGGCCAGTCCATCGCCACTTCTCCACAGCCCAATCCAGAAATCACCATCAGAAATCCCAGAGCCTGATTTGGTGAGGTTTTGCAGCATGTTTTCTATTAGCTGCTGCTCAGCTTCGCTTTCCAAGCTCAGTAAAGCCCCACCATCGATTTCACAGGCCTGGCGGGCTTCCTGGAAGCCCACGCGTCTAGACAAGTCCTGGAAATAAGCTAATTTGTAACACGAATGCTTGAAGGCACCATAGCACACCTTCTGGCCTGAAAGACAAAAACATGGGGCTGCTCAGAGTACAGTAATGAAGAGCAAAGCTGCAAGAATAGAGTACAGCACATCATGCATACACTGGTGGAGGACGGGAGGTTTTTTTCTGAGCATATTCATGGTGGTAACACTGGCACCGCTGAAATCCTTTGCTCTAATTTAAATTTCAAATAGCACACAATTCATGGGAATCTATGTTGCCACGTCATATGAAACTCTCCAAAACACTGAAGATTCCCAGTAGGTTCTAGAAAAATATTCTCTATTTTAATGATTCTACAATCAGGCCTCTCTGTTATAGCCAGGATCTGTTTGGAGGGTATTTCCTTGACTATTTCACACTAATGGACCAATTTCACTTCTATTGTGTAATCAGAGCTATTTAATGTTTTTTAAAAAATAAATTTCAAATTCACATGTTTAGTGGCAAGAAGCAGCTGGAAATTCTTTTTGATCCCCTAAGTTAACCTTGAGAGGCTGTATATGAGAGGAACTCATAGCTACTCTTCACTACAATGTGCCTAAGTACAACTTGTAAAGCCACACTGGCACAAAGTACAGCAGTTTATTGTACTATATCAAATTTCCATTTGAAAATCTTGTATTTAGTCTCACTTTTAAGCAAACCCAGATACGTGACTCACATAAATAACATTTGAATAAGATTTATCCTGTTTCACCTTAAAAAAAATAAATTGTAATTTGTCACCAGGAGACAGCAACATCCTCACATAATTTAAGCTATATTTAAGTTTTCCCAGGCAATGTTTTTCTATACACAAAGAGTAAACACCAAAGGAAACAAAAAACCTTAAAAGCTACAATAAAGTTCATTCTTTTTTGCATTAGTGTTGTTTCATTTTTTTATTTAATGAGTAAGACATTTCCAATAGCAGACAGCACAAGGGCTGAGATGAAGACATCTCTGTATTTGCACAGAGCATAGTTTCAAGTATTTGCACAGAATAAGCAGATTGTATCAAAGATGCCTTAATGTAGGAATGGAAAATCAGGATCAGCTCTTGACTTAAAGCTAAATCTGAAAGTAACTCCTATTTTTCAGGATTATTTCTGTTGTAGATAGCTAAATTACAGGGGCAGTAGGGATATTTTATGCTTAATTTTCTAGGGTTTCCTAGAATTCTTGTAATCTTTCTAGAAAAAAAAAAACAAACTCTGAAACCTTCACTTTATAATACTCTATTAAAGTTCATCTGGAGAAGGACTATCAGAAAGAAAAGCATCTTTTTAATCTCATTCTTACCTTGTCAGACAGACTTCAGTTGTTTACCAGTAATTAATCTACCAAAATAACACAGGAACAAGAACAGTCTAAAAAAAGGACAGGCTTGTACCACAGTTGTAGAAAAAGCCAGGCTCCAAGATCAGGCAGAGAGTACCAATTTTGACTCTCTCTGATAATGTCCTGACAACACAGTGTATGCCCAAATTTTTTTCCTGATACTTCCCTTTATTCATATAGGTTAAGAGCCTCACTCCCAATAAATGTAGGAAGGGCCATGGTTGTAGCTGGGCAGTGGTGCTGAAGAAGCAAGGTACAGACGTTTTAACAGAGATGCAACTGAAATAACAGGCTTCTTCCCAGACTTCTTTGAACAAAAGAACTACTGTTATCAAAGTAACAAAGTGGTAAGTCTAAATGTTCTGAAGTGAGAAATGCAAAAATGAAAGCTAGCTCATTCCCTTCCTCGACACAATGCTGAAATTCCAATTTTGTGAACATGATTGATTTTCCCCAGGAGCTCTCTCACTGACAGAGCAGAGTGCACAAGGAAGGAGGAGCTGATCAACATTTTGTTGATCACTGCTGGGTGAGTGACAATGGCTTATTGCCAGAGTACTCATGTGCATACAACAGCACAAACATCCAAAGCCTAGCACTGAATTATGCAGGACACTAATCACTTCCAAGGAAAAGTGACCACACCTTTCCCTGTAGCTGAAGATTGGATTCAAAGCATTAATTCAAGATGTACATGCACATTTAGGAAGAGTGCTTTGTCCATTGTCTTGTTCTTTTTTTTTCCCCCAGACAATCTTTGAAATGAGCTCTTCCATGATTCCTTTCATTCTGTGCACATACTCCTCCTTGACATCAAGTAGTAAGTCATGAGCAAATTCAGATGTCAAAGGATCCTGGTCACAATTTCAGTCATGCTGGAATGTTCAACCAACTGTGATGAGCAAGCTGACCACTACGGAGAATAATTCCTGCGCTGTTTCTCCTTCTCATGGGAAAACAGCTAACTTTGCCTTTAAAACAGACAATCCACACCCCATCCCTGCATGTTTCTCAGGTGGCTGAAGTGCTCCTCTCACTCTCTGTTCCCATGCACAGCCTCTTTTCTTCTGTGACTCTCCCAAAATCTGACTCAAACCTTCTAGCTGAAGAAATGGATCCTTGCTGGCTACCTACCTGAGCTTTCTCAGGATGCTCATCTGCCTGTCAGCTGCTGCATGGAGATTCAGGTAGAACCTTAGAATTTTAGGCTGGCAAAGACCCTGAAGACCAAGTCATGGCAAGCGCTGTTTCTGACCTGCTCCAAGGCTTGTGTCCATAAGCTGTGCTGTATTCTTGTCTAATACTGAGGCTGTATCAATGCTCAGCTCCATCACCCACACCAAGGAAACCAGGTGGGACTGTATGGAGCAGCAAGGAGGATGACAAGCATTTGTGATGCACAACACAAAGAGCTACTGCAGCCCCTAATATGTGTCCAGCTTGCTCCTGTTCTGCACTTAAAGCAGGGAGCCCTCTTGGAGCCATCAGCATACAGATGTGAAGGCCCAGTTTCTACCGAAAGACTTATCTGAAAGGATGTGCAAGTTAAAATCTTGAAGCTTTGTGGAAGACATTTTCTTTCTTCCCTTAAACTGACCTGAAAAATTTCTAAGGACATCATTTTTATTGCAGATATTTGGGCAGGGTTAAGTAACTCTAAAATCAAGTTTTAAAAAGTGAGAGGGAATTGAACAAATGAAAATTTGCATGAAATCCAACTCCTAAATCACTGCTCTTTCATTTATTGTTCTCTCTACCCATGGCAAAAGAAATCATTTTCTCCTTACAGGATGATCATTTCTGCGAGAATATACCTTCAGAAACCAACAGAGAAAACAGCAAGAAACAAAGAAATAATTGGCATTAAGACCCAGAGACCTAAACAGCGTGAATGAAGTGTGTGAGGCAGAGCAGCAAGCTTTCTGGAAGAAGCTGTGAATTTCTCTTGTTCTAGTTAATTTAATCCCTGTGTTTAGGCAATGACCTACTCTGAATCTTTTCTTTCTTCTTTTGAAGCGGACTTTGAACCAGTTCCACTACGGCAGATAAATGTGTTAATGGAAATCTGTAGTTGTCCCTTAATAGCTGGCAAATCAGTTGACATTTTAGTGCTTTTCTCGGAACACCCTGAGATGTCAGGTTTTAAAGCTTCGTTTTTTCTCTCACTACTAATTTCTGAACTACAAAGCAGAAATAATTTACCACTGAGAAAGGACAGAATGGACCACACTGTACAGGAGACAATGTAAGTATGGAAATATCAACTCTGTGCTATTTTACTTTATTCTAACGCCTTTCAGCAGACTCCACTGTTAGTTCTAAGGCAATATTTTGCTATTTCAGCTGTAAAAATTGAGTTCAAATTTTTCTGTCACAATTGAATAGAAATTAGATTTGTAAGCAAGACTATTGGAATGAATCATGCTAAGATACTACACAACACAAATAATCTTTTTTTATTTTTTTTTTGTCTCATCATCTCATTAGCTGATGAAAGCAAGTGAACAGCATTTGCTCCAGAAAGTGCTAGCTAACATTTCCATCCATATGGGTCAGTTTGCACCTTTGTGTGTTTCACAGAAGGTCCATTGTAGAATATTGAGTTATCAGCCTCAGAACAAAGATATTTTAAAACTAAATTACTCATTAAAATATTTCTGCAGATGGGGGGGGGAAAAAATCTTCAAGAAAAAAGGAAAAAAGCAAATTACAAGCTGTTATTTCAATCAGTTATATCTCCATTATGTTTTAATAATCATGCTTCATTAAAAAATAATGGATTCCTTGATTTCTGTCATGTCAGGAGTTACAGCAAAGTGTCATTTAGAAGCAAAATTCTAAAAAAAAAAAAAAAAAGGTAATCTAAAAAACCTGTTAAAATACCCAGGTTAAAGACTCCTCTCCCTAAGAGCATCAGGCTCATTACTAAACTAAACCCCACAGGCCCAAGAGCGGCACAAAGGTCATTTTTAGTGACACACCTGGCTTAGCTGGAGCCTTTGAAGATGTCAGGTAGAAGATAAGCTCCCTGCTGATAAATCCCATCCCTCTTCCTCTTGAACCTTACAAACTAACCTGCAATCCAGGGCTTGATACCATTAGCATCCACCTAGATTAGGTCTGCCACTGCACGTGCACAGCATATGTGAAGAGAGACAAAAATTAATGCACAAAGCCTGATGTGCTCAACTCCTTTATGCTTTGTTTTTTCACTATTTTTTCATCCCAAAGCAATGGATTCAGCAGAAAACAAGAACACTTGGTAAAAAGCAACGTGAAATATTTATGATTAACCAGAGCAGCGTGAGCCTGATGGAGACCTCAGAAAACAAAGTGACAAATAAAAAAACAGGGACTTAAATGAAAGTGATAATGAAATAGCAAAACAGAAACCTGTGGTAACTAACCAAAATATTCTCTGCCCATGTTATGAAGACTAGCCTTGGTCTCGAGCTTGCACGTGCGCAGTGACCTCAGGGATGACTCACCAGCATGCAGGACACTGGGCACAATTTGTTTTCACCTGTCTCCTCATCACAGGGCACTCCACACCAAGTCCCAGTGATGCACTCCAGAACATGGCCAGTAAGAGACTAAGTGGTAATAAATTTTCCTAATCACATTTTGTTTCAAAGCTGATGCATCTTGTCAGATGGTCTTTGTATCATCCGGTCAGATTTTGACTAGGTTCAGATGCCAGTCATATTTTGCTAT